TAATTTATGGTTTTGTATTGTCTTGAGTTTGCGTCATGTAATTAATAGTTCTTTGTTGTTTCGTTTAGTGTCTTTTTGCTCCCTAACGTTTTTTGGCTTTCAATCTTTTGGCTCCCTCCTAGGACTCGCCACACCAGTAGTGTCAAAGACACTCAAGCCACAATGACGTCAGCAGCAGTGACCTCCTTCCTCGCGGCCGCCACTCTCTTATTGGCCGGCAACCATCACGTGAGCCAGGCCAAGACAGTTGTCTTGTTTTCTCCCCCTCACGCCGCCAACGTGCGCACATACACCAACACAGGCCGCGCCCTGGCCGCGTTAGGACATGACGTGTACGTCCCTGTGCCGGACTTCATGCTCAAAGACAACTCCGTCAACGTACAGGGCATCAAAGTCATCCGGTACGGCGAGTATCTCGGTCACTTCGACGACAAGATCGCAACGGTGGCCGTGAACAAATTCTGGAGGAACCAGTCTATGAATCTTGGAGATGTCCCAGGGATTCTCAATTTATTCAATGACATGGTCACTCAGATTTTGTCAGACAAACAACTGGTTGCAAAATTTAAAGAAATCAAGCCGGATATGTTTGTTCTGGTCAAAGTTCCTTTCTTTAGGGATTTTGTTATTTTACCGTACATGCTGCACGTTCCCTTTTCTTTTTTGTGTCCATTTCACGATTATGTTGGACAAAGGGTTCCCATAAGTCTGTCATCAACACCTTTACAACTCAATGACGATTTTCAGGAGGAAGGTATGACTTTCTTCCAACGTCTTAAGAATAGCATGGCTCATTTAGCTCTATTCTTTTTCCACGAGTACGCATCTAGTGACAAACTCGTCGCAAAGTTCGCACCTCACCGACCCAGAATATCTACCAAGGAGATAATGTCCCAGGCGGAAATTTTCATCGTGGAGAGTGACCCCATTATGGATTTCGCTCGCCCGCACCTGCCAAATACCAAATTCGTGGGAAGCACAGCGGGGACTTCCCCGAAAGAACTCAAAGAGCCGTTCAAAAGCTTCATGGAGAAATCTGTGAACGGTGTGGTCGTGGTTACGTTCGGAAGCAGCATTCTAGAGGTACCGGACTACATTTCCTCCAAGATGGTATCGGCGTTCCTGAAGCTGAAACAGAACGTGGTTTGGCGCGTGAAACTGCAGTCTCCTGATCCGGGTAAGATTCTCACTTCTTCCTGGGTACCACAAAATGACCTTCTAGGGCACAAGAACACCAAGCTCTTCGTCTCCCACTGCGGTATGAACGGACAGTACGAGGGAATGTACCACGCCGTGCCAACACTTTGTCTGCCTTTTGAGAGCGACATGCCGTACAATGCCCAAAGGGGCGTGGCCAAAGGTTTTGGTCTTAAGGCCGACATCCGTGAGGTCACAGACATAGAGCTTCTGGCGCTGATGAGAGAAATGCTGGAGAATAACAAGTATAAGAAAAACATACAAAAAGCCTCCGATTTATACAAAGAACTGTATAAGCTTCCGGTGAACGAGACGGCATTCTGGTTGGATCACGTGATGAAGTATGGTGGCGCCTACATGAGGTCAGCAGGTCAAAACATGCCCATGTACCAGTTCCTGGCGCTAGATGTTCTGGCTTTTGTTGCGGTTGTGAAAGTGTTTGTTGTTGTGTTTGTGTACAAGACCTGTCGCTGTTGTTGTGGCCTGTGTTGTGGTAAGAAGAGGAAATCAAAGAGTGATTAGTTTGCATCCAGTGGCGGTGGGTGGACCAAAATTTGGATGGGGCTTAGGTTGCTTCCAGTTCTTTACCACCAAATAGCAAGCAATAAGAATTAAACAGTGATGATTTTTCTATACCCACGGTAAGCCACGGCAGTTTGAGAACCATTCAAACGAGAAGAGTTACCTTTGCTTTCCATCTCTTTGTTCTTAGTTAAATTCTTGTTGATGGTGGGGACGAAGCCGATTCACCTCCAAATTTCCTCTAATTAGTTTTCGTGTGATGAAAAAGTTGCCTTACAAGTAGTTCGACCTGATTTATAACTGTTAAATCTCAGCGGGCCAAACACAAACAAGCTCACCCAGCACTTCAAACATAATACTTCTATGAGTATGAGCTGGATTAGGCTGTGTAGTCGAGAAAGTTGAACGCACCCAACAAAGAACCAATGAGCCCATAGGTATCTGTGTCAGTGGGGGAAAGTGTGTCGTAAACTTTCACCCGATTGTCAGGGCTAGGAGAGCGTGAGCCCTCGGTACAGTGTTATTTTTTTCTCATTCTTCTACCTTTTTATAAGAAAAGTTTAATTAAGGACGGGCTGTGGGAAAAGGGTTCATCTTTGCTGAGCCCTAAAGACATTTGATTGGCTGCTGGGTTACTATAGTTGTAAGCACAACAGTGATTGGATAAGCGAGCAAGCCGCAAAGTTGATCACTCTGCGTTCATTGCGTGCGGTCATAACGGTTTAAACTGCTTATTTCATTGTGTAGAAACTCTCATTTACTTTGGGATAGAGTTGGGGATGGTGGGTGGGGAGGGGGTAGGGGCTCAAGCCCGTGAGCCCTTCACTACCCACCGCCACTGTTTGCATGTACATGTGTGAGGCATCGTGATGAAATCAGGCGCTCATGAAAATCCTGAAATCGAAGATATCGTCATTTTCCTCCAATTTGACCATTTTTTTTAAATTTATTTTTTTTGGCTCAACACTTTTTATGTCCATTTAAAAACAACAAATGTAAATGTTCAGTTTCCAGTTTCTAGCTAATTTTACCTCTGAAACCAGGTGACCCCGACCTCCTTCAATCGCAAATATTTCCACTTCTATTCAATAAAGACATGGGTTTTTTTCCCCAAAAGATGGTCGAATGAACAGGCTGATGATACCAGTAACTCCACACGCCAAAAGATTGACGTGAGTCTTTTTCCACCGTGTCGTGACACATGTACATTATGTGGTATATATATATTGGAGTCCCACTTTATTCCAACCGATTACACTGTTCCTCTCTGTCTCTCTCTCTGTCTCTCTGCCTCTCTGTCTCGCTCTCTCTCTCTCTCTCTCTCTCTCTCTCTCTCTCTCTCTCTC